CCGGGGCAGGAGGCAGCAGCAGCCCGCCCCACGGAGGCCGCTCAGGGAGAGGCAGTCCTGCCCGGGTCCCTCTGTGCGCTGCCGGCAGGAAGAGCCCACTGCGGCTGCCTCTCTCCCCGGCGCGGAGAAGCTCCAGGCCTGTCTTCCCGTTTGCTTCCCCCGGCCCAGCGCCGGCAGTGCCTGACTGTCCAGCAATGTCAGAGGCGCGCCATTAGCGCCCTCTGTGCTGCCCATGCCATACCATGCGCCCCCTCGAGCCGAGGGGGACCAGGAAACACAGGTCAGTGGCCTGCGGCCGTCTGGCTGGGGATTAACTCCGCAGGCGGCTTTCACTTCGGCAGCAAACACCGCTCTCTATGGAGAACCAAAACCGGGCACAGCTTCAGGACAGTTCAAGGCCCGGGGTGGTGTGCCAGGAGCGCTCCATACCAGGGTTTCCGGTGGTGGCCAAGAAACAGCTGCTCCTAGACTAGGCTGACTGCGCTGTCAGGGTGGCCACGACCTCTGGGTTTAAGGTCAAACTTAAGACTTTAAGAAAGTTTACAGAGACATTCTGGCCCCGTGGTGGGCATACCCTTTGAGCACCACAAAAGCAAGCACGCCACATCGTGGGCCTGTGGCAGGACCTCGTGGGCCCCAGAGCCAGGAAACTGGCTCAAAGACGCCAAGCGCGGGTGGCTCTGGAGGGCGTGGCCTCAGCACACGCCCACCACAGCTGTGCTGGGACTCACAGCTCCCCACACACCTCTCTGCCTGCATTTCTCAGTATGGAGATCTGTTTCCCCAAGAGTCAAACAGTGGATCGAAGGACAAGTCCAAGACTTCCGAAAGTGGCAGGGGGACGCGGTGCTCTGCCTGGAGTGTCTAACACCTGAGCGCGAGTCCTGCCAGCACCTAAGTTCTTCAAACAAAGCCTCCCACAGGCAGGACACTCGAGCCACAGCTGAGCTGGGCCACGGGGCACCCGGGCCGCCTGCCTGAGGCGTGGGGTTCTTCGCCAGCCGGAAGCGGACAGCGAGCGCCGGCCACTTTCCGCATTTCTGTTGCTCACCATGCTGGGAAGGTCAACACCCCCAGGGCCCAGCTCTGAGCCCCGATGGGTGGACAGCTTACACAACCATCCCGTCCCCAGGGGGAAGCAAAGACCGCCCTCCTCTCCCCTACAGAAGCAGAGCAAAGCCAGGCACATCCCGAGACCGTATACGGCTCCAGAGGTTCCGTGCGGCAGGAAGTCTTTTTGTTCACCCTCACCATCTAGAACACACGTTCAAGCATGACAAGATAAACCGATCAGGTTTTAAAAAATTCAGCTGCACACTGCTGAGCGGGAGGTGAGACCCCGCGGTCGCTGTCACACAGAGCGAGCGTCAGGGGCAGCAGAGGCTGTTCAGGTGCTGGCCAGCAGTCAGCGGAGAGGAAGAGGCCAAGGCTTATGGCTATGTGTCTGTACTCAAATATAGAGATTAAAAAATGCTAAAGAGAAAGAAAGAAAGGAGCGCACACAGCTGCCGTCCCCCAAACAGACCTCCCATCTGCCACCCACGATTTGCATGTCACCTTCTCTGGGCTCATTTGTACTTCATTAACTGCCATTGACTTAACAAGATTTATGCAAATGACACCACAGGAGCTCCCTAACTCCCACTGCAATCAAGTGATTATGTATGTACAACTCTCCACAGCAATGAAAAATTAATACGTGACAAGCCCACTTGCTGCCGAGCAGGCCTCTGGCTTTTATTTTTCTTGCTTTGCTTTTTAATTTTTATTTGAACAGACCTTATCTTGTTAGTAAGTAGAGACAGGGAACTCTCTGAACCAAATGCACCCGGGGCCCCAGAAAGGACCAAAAATGTAAGGCAGGTGCAGGTTCAAAAGACACGAACTTATGTTTTGGGAGACAAGTCATAGTCTCAATGAGAAATCTCTAATTGCGGGGAGAAAGAGATGAAGTCACCGACTACCATGATTCTGCTTGGTCCCATGCTGGGGGTAAAAGCCTTGGTTCTCAAACAAATGAGCTGTAAAACGTTCAGGGAAATGGTTAAAATGATCCACTGGCACATGTACGATCTGTACACACGAGTCAGTAATGGCGAGTACGGACCCCCACATCCGAGCCCCGAACGCCAGTGTCCCTTACAAGATTCTCGGGGGCGGGGGTGAGGAGGGGCTGGGGAGCAGAGTCTGCCATGGTCAAAGCCTCGGCCATCACTAGCTGTGTGAAGGCTATGGGTTTCTAACGCGATTCCTCTACCCAGAGGTGAAGGACCCACTGGCCGGCGCACGACTCCAGCCACAGGACCGCCTCTTGAGCGCAGGCTGACGTTGAGACACACATTCTGCTGCTTGCGGGGATGGGCAGGGATGAGAAGAGTGCTCCCAACCGCGAACAGCGCCACTGCTCCCTGGAGAAGTGTGCCGCCGCGGCACAGTCTTACGGGTTTCTTCTACTTGGGTGTCAGCTACTTCGGCCTGAGGTCAGGGTTCACATCATGTATAGCTCACAGCTTTGCTTCCAAAGCTTCCTGCAGACTTTTCGTGACTGGGCGGGGGGCCTGGTCCAGCTGTCTGGCCTAGAACACACAGCTGCTTTCTCTAGATTGTACCTGAGATAAGCGTAGCACAACCACCTCCATCGTGCAGCGCTGAGGTTAAAGGAACGAACGCTGTGTGGAGCGCACCGAAATAACAGGCTCATTCTGTAGCGACCTCTGCTCAGTGCATAAATCTGTGGGTTCCCAGGACACGTCGGGGAGGCCCTGCCGTGCTGTACCCGCCTTTCTGCTTCATGTTCACGTGCAGTCACCACACTAGGGGGTAGGAGACTCAGCTGTTCTCAAATGATCTGCGCTCTTTAGAAACAAGGGCACACACGGGCACGAAGGGGCATTGCTACCACCACCTAAGAACCTGCTCCCGACCACAGGACACGCAGGAAGGCTCTTCGAGGGTGCCCGGCCCAGTACAAACCTGAAATCCCAATTCTGTTAGAATGGAAACATTCCCTGCATATCGCCACATCTGAGTGTTTCAAGAGGCTCAGATGACCTCTGGCTCTCCCATTTCACAGAGGAGGAGCTCAAGGCCCAGAGCACCTCCCACAGAGGGTAGTGGCGGGCCAGGTGGACCCCAGGAAGGAGCTGGCCCCTGCTGCACACGGGCGAACCTTGGAGAGATAAGGAGCTCCCCGTGCCCAGTCCTCCCCAGGAAACCAGACCATGACTGATTCACAATCGAAAGCCTTCCAAGGCCTGGATGATGCTCATTTTATGCCTGGGGGTCAGCTCCTATCTGCACAGGTACTCCAAGTCTCACCTGCAAAGACAGATGAGGGCACGAAGCACGGGAGGAGCTCATGAAGTGCCTCCAAGCTGCGAGTCCCCAGTTCCCAGCGTGTGAGATGGGAACTATCTACGCTAAGCTTTAATCTTTCCCCAGGTCAACGTGCCAGCATCAGTGCTATAGACCGCAGCAAAAAAAGTTAAACAATTGTCATAAATCTAGGTGATGTAACATCGAGGACATACAGATTATACTTTAAAATTATCTTAAGTAAAGAGTCAGGTCATTAAAAACACGAGCACAGAAGAACTCGGCACAAACCTCTAAAGAACTGGTTTGATGGTGAAAACACGATGTACCACCAGCGAAGAGGCAGGCGTTTTGTTTTTAGAGAAACGCAAGGAACAGAATTTCCCGCACTGGGCCCGGTGCTCTCCCACACATCTGTCGCCTGGTATCTGAACACACACAGAGGCACCTCCCTGTCCCCTCATTACGCAGGCAGGGGTCGAAGGAGCTCAGTCCTGCAGCTGCCCAGGTGGGTGCAAGAGCTCCGTCCAGCTCCAACTCCCGTCTCACCCAAGAGCCTGTGGCCCCACCTAAGCCCTCTCCCCCATTGGCTTCCGGCTGAACGTGCCCAGCCCTCTGCTGTAGCAGCCTGCAGCCCTGTTTGTTTCAAATGGGTGAAATCTGTAATGCTGCCACCACTTGGCTGTATCTGCAGGACTTCGCCCCCTCTGCAGGTAGCCAGTGCCTGGAGTCGAGGAGGCTGGGGAACAGATCGCTCACAAGCCGTGTCCGCGGGAGGCGCAGCCTTCATCCTGCCTGCAGGCTTTGTCCCTCTCTTTTCTCAAACAGACCGCACTCTAAATCAGTTGGCTTTCTTTAACAAACTCAGAGACGACATTTCCAGAGGCCAGGGCGAGGGGCTGCACTCTTTAGTCTTATTTCTCCTCGGAAATAAAATACCCAAATACGTCACGTGTGAATGCTACCTTTTTTTTTTTCCCCCTGCAGACATGAAGTCACTCAGCATCCGGTTTCCGGGCTAATGAAATCCTATTTCAGGCTAGCAACATAGGCCAAAACAAATGCTTGAATTCGAGTCCTGTTGTGTAATGAGGAAGTTTAATTAAGGCCCCACATTACCGCTGTAAATGTTCCTTTATATAATAAGGTCTAAATGAAACTGAACCTAATCAAAGTTACAATTCCTTCATTAGCAAATTACAAACAAGAGAGAGCAGCTGACATGCAGGCTATGATTATCACAACTAATTGCCTCGTTGTCGCAGACCAGCCTGAAACAGTGTTCAGATGTCCGTCTGCGAGAGCAAATTAGGGCCACGCCGGGCCATTCCTGTGATCACAAGGGGCTCTTGTACAGCGATCTGATTTACCCCTGTCGCCTGGCGGCCAGCAGCCCAATCAAAGCCGTGCTACAAAGGCAGCCTTTGAAGCCAGCGCTGCCTGGAAGCGCACTCCATATGCAGGCGGGCAGACTGCACTTCATTAGATCTGTTTGTCCCATTTCGTCTTCTTATTCTAATGATCCTATTTTAATACTCACAGGAACCTCTTCTAATTGATGTCAAGTGAGTGACTTCTACATTCATCAACAGAGCACATCAAACAAACTCCGGAGCCAGAACCAGCATCCTCTCGGCCGACCTGAGGTGTGCGTCCAGCGCCGGGCAGGGAGGGGGACCGCGTACCTGTTTAATTGGGATGGCTCGGCCGCTCCCGATGCTGTCCGCACGGCTCTCCAGGCCTTTCTTCTCTTTGTCTGGGTCGCTCCCTTTCCGAGACTGCAAAGCAAAGCAAAGTTAGCATTTGGGGAAGGGCCACGCTAATGCAGGTGCTCTGCCTATCTGCACGCTCCCTACCAACCCGGATGCAGAAGCCACGCCTGGGACACGTGTGGGCAGGCAGACCCCCGGGAGGCTCATCCGCACTGACGCACCGATCTAGAGAGGATGCCCTATACTTTGCTCTGGACTTTTCCACTGCAAAATTATCTTTTAATTCTTTTTTAAAGAGTTCAAAATTCAATTACTAGAAACCAATGGACCATCTAAGAAAGTAACGCCCAACGAGAACACACATTTGAAAGCTGCAGTTAAGAGAGCTGGGGAAAGGGGCTCCTGGCTGCTTGTGCCAAAAACTGCCTCCATAAATGTACACATTTAATTATGTCTGAATGATTTACAAAGTCTACCACTAGCCGACTGTGTGAGCTCACAGGACACCCCCGACCAGTAGCAAGGTGTGGATAATGTTTCCTTTTATTGCTTTGGGATGGTTAGAACACAGTGATTTCTAAGTTAAATCAGCGTGCCATGCCACGACCAATAATAAAGGGGGAAATACTGAAAATCTCCCTGCAACAAAACGTCAGTGTTCCGGGAACAATGAGCAACTCCGATTGTTTGCCAAGTTCACGAGCCAGTTATCTGCAAGGGTGCGGGGCTGGTGGCCGGAGGAGGCGGGAGGGCGGCCACACGTGGCCCAGCGATGCTACCACCCAAGGCACACCTTGACCCCGGAGTGCCACACGCAAGTTCCCTCTGCTGATGGCATGAGAAAGTGTGAGCACGATGATTTTCTGACAGATTTATTTTATTATGAGAGAAAGATCTGAGACTCGTCCTCCTTAATAACGGTGCTGACGAGTGACAACTTCACTCCATTACTTTTCAATGGGAACATTACTCACGCAATATTGAAAATGGAGAAACATTTTCATGTGCTTTTCAAATCTGAGATGATATATGAAATGGATAGACCCGGTGTCCGGCGCCGCGGAGAACGGCTGATGAAATCCCGTTTCAAAGCAACGCGGGAGGGAGCGGCTGATGTTTAAAGACAGTACTGGACGGGGACGGTGGATGTCACAGGCGGGATAAAGCAAGGGCTCGTGGGGCAGGCCCCGGATTCCAGGGGCAGCTTCTGCCAGAATCAGGCTGGAGGCCGGGGAGAAGCTGCTGGGCGCTGCTCTCCCGAGCCGCAGTGGGAACTAGGACAGTTTCCTCGGGGACGAGAAACGCTCACAGCTACCGTCACCTACTCTGTGCTAGGCACTGGGGGCTCTTTTCTTTAGGACAGTAAAAGCCTGGAGAAGGATGACAGGAAACGGAACAAGTGACCAACGAGAAGCTGCCACCGTATAAAGCAAACAAACAGAATGTACCCCTCCGGGCCGGGAGGGAAGTGAACATGTTTACCAAGTCTTCAGCATGAACTTCAGCTGCAGCACGGGGGTTTGCTTTTCCCTTTCATTAACAACGTACAGCCAGAGCTACAGATTGGCTCAAATTCTCCTGTGCCACAGTTCCGGGGAAGGTGGCGCCTGAGGTTTCTAAGTGTGACACAAACTTCGGCTCACCGTGACAGACTTTTTAAAAAATTGAACTGACAAGGACCATCGATAATCCTCTGGGAATGTTATGAATTCTAAATTTCTAAATTTGGAAATCCATCTTCATTATTCTCTGTTAACCAGAATAATTAACAAAACAAACATCCAAAAAAAGTTAACATCTTCCCCAAGGCGGCACATCTGTCCCCACAGCCGCCCCTTCTCAGAGCAGGCTTCGGGTTCCACCAGAAGCAGCAAGAAAGGGCCGATGGCACCATCTGTAAACGCAGCACGCAAACGGAGAAGACCCAAACCTACACTGGGCACAGGGCGCCTACCTGTAATCCAGCACCTGGGAGGCTGAGGCAGGTGGAACACAAGTTCAAGCCCAGCCTGGGTAACTTAGTGAGACCCTGTCTAACAGTGACAAATAAATAAAAGGGCTAGAAACATAGCTCAGTACAAGGGCACTGGGGTCAACTGCAGGTACTACAAAGAAATAAAAGGCAAGGAAAGGCAAGGAAATGCAAGGCAACTTAATGCAGTACCCAATCACAAATTAAGAGATGAATGAAACTGCAAAAATAAAACAAAAATTTTCCAACAACTGTCATATCCTGATGAAGAGAGTCATGAAAATAAAACTTTAGGCAAGAAACAGAGGCAAAGAAGAAAGGTTTGCTGTACTCAGTTCTACAACTGCTTTGCCTATAAGTTGCATGGATATAACTGAAAGAAACAACTAAGTCCAGGGGACATGAAAGACTCGCACAAAGAAATCCCTGGTGAGGTCTTCTTGCTTTCCTGCCCAATCTGGAAACCACACACTCCTGGTGCCCGCTTGTGTAGCAGGAGTGATCGTGTCCTGCATCTAGCCTGTTGCCCAATGCCAGAAACACAACCACCTCGGAAGGTCTGGAGACTTAATCCCATGCTGATAAGACTGCCTAGCCTCTAGAAATGCCGATGCAGAGGAGAGGAAGGGTAAAGAAATCTAACGTCACCTGCTGCTTTACAAAACTGATTAACCTCCCCTCACAGGGTGAAGGAAGCCATAGAGAGACTTCCAGTGATGCCTGCGGGATAGCAGAAAATAGCACTGCTGACAAGAGCCCTCTGGATCCGGTGGAAACCTGCTCAGCCCTTTCCCAGCAAGGAAGAGGTCTGCAGAACCCACCACGCCCAGGCTCTCTCCATGAAAGTCCAAAGCACCATTCAAGCAGTTCTACTTCTAGACAAACTTCACTATCTTGCTTTTTCCAGGGAGTTTCTGTGCTTCCCACAATGTGTGGGCACCGGTACACTGAGCTCCGTTTAATAGCATCGGCATGACCTGGCAAGCTCTGAAAATCATCCTGTCGATGACAGCGCCACTACACAGCTTGCCGACCGGCAAAGCAACGCAGCATATAATGCAAGGACACATGCACTAAAGACCCGAGCACAGATAACATGCATGAAATCCAGGGGAACGCCCATCCCTAAAGAGAGAGGCACAGGGGACATGTGGGACAGCTCGGGTTTTGCTTATGATTTGCTCTTTTCTTAGAGGAGCTGCAGCAGCGGTGGCCGCAGAAAAGGTCTGTATCTGATGAACTGTGTGGGGAGTACCCACGTTTTTTTATTCCCCCATGCTTGAAAATGTTCTCCAATAAAATAGCTCAACCACACGTACACTGGGGCTGCTAAACTGTTGTAAGAACCAGTACAACAAAACCAGGGGTTAAGCGGATAGTCTTCTAATGTTTGTTTTCTCAAAACAGTGTTGTTTGTTTTTCCCAAAGAAACAAGCAAAGTAAGATAAATGTTAGCATTTTGTCAGTGAAGTGTAATTCCTACTGTGAAGGTGACACTCCATTTGCCACTACTAGATTTAAGTTTACGCCAGTGCACATACAGCACACATGATCTATGTGTTTAAAAATATGTGTACACGCAAAGAGCAGCATCTGGAGCAAAACATGTTAGCCCAGACTGGGACCTTCCCATTACCATCACCGGTCTAGTTTATAAAAGATGCGAGAATGGTATTGAGCAGCGAGCACTACGCAGCTATGGCCCTGGGTAACGCTCCAATAAATGAGGCGGATGGGGCTTCCCCACTCGCATGTCACAGCCCCACGCTGTGTGCATCTCGATCCACTCAGACTGCTCACATGTGGACATCTCTCTCCTTCCTACTGGACACACACTTTGGCAATTGATGCTCAGGACCACCGACCACCCCAGGGACCCACACTATGGAATTTCACCTACTCGAGAACAGACGCCAACTGGTAACAATAAGAATTTAGTTTCTTAATTGCTTAGATCTCAAAATTAACTTGCCTTCTTTTTCATTCCTTGGATGACACTGACACCTAGTGGAGTTCATGTGCCGAGCTCTTCACCTTAAGAATACTCAGGGCCTCACAGATCACTCTCGGCACCACGGCCCCACCCAGTAAGGGCCCGCACGCTGCTCTGTGCCTGGGATTTCGGGCGACCCTTCCTTCAGTGGAACTGTTCAAGCCCACTGCTACCCTAAACTCTTCATCAGCCCAAACCAGTTCCCACTGCTAACAGCCGGGCAGCAGGATGTAATCTGTAAGACGGTTTATTCTCCCACTGCTGGCTGACAGCGCGGGAGAAGGAGCCCTGGCTACGCAGGTTCAGAGGCAGGAGTGGTGTGGACAGGCAGTAATGAACAGTGATGTCCAGCCACTGCAAGGAGCAGTTTCCATCGGCGCCTGCCTACCCGGTCTGTGTCCCCGTGCCTTCCTGGATGCCTCAGGGTGTGCAAGTATGTGGGCGTGTATGTGCTCACCCGGGTGACTGTGCACCACCGGACGTGGCCCTCCCCTCACAGTCTCCCTCGCCCTATACTATGTGGAACCCCTCACTTTGGCGCCAAGCACTTTCCCATGAATGTGGCCGACGCTGGCCGTCAACAATCCTCCTACTCACTGAGCAAAACCAGTGCTCTGCAGCGAGCCGAGGTTAAGCAAGCATGGATTCACGGGCTTCCTACTGTCCTTCCTCCTGCCTGAGAATCAAGCGGTCCCCAACACAAGGCACCAGGGCTGGCAGTTAGCTGGTGTCAGGGTCCTGCACACAATTTTGTGGTGCATTCCAACTCTCAAGCTACCCTTTCAGAGGTTGGGGACGGCGATGTGCTGGTCCCCTCGTACAGAGCCTATCGTGAAAGAGAATTCCCATTTGCTTGTTCTTTATTTCTTTTATAGAAAAGAAAACAAAGTCAACAAGCAGGTGCCAGAGGCCGGCCAGCCCCTCCCATGCCATGTCCCTGTGGTCACCAGTGACAAGCGCGGAAGCTGGTCTTGAGCCCTGGGCTGCCCACTCTGCTAGCGCCCCCTTATGGTAACCTTCTTAGGCCCACTGCATGGGAGTAAGTGAACAGCTTGTCTTGTGTGTGCGCGCGCGCATGTGCGCCTGTGCGTGCGTGTGTGTGTGTGTGTGTGTGTGTGTGTGTGTGTGTGTGTGTGTAGGGGGGCCCTTCTCCTCCACAGGCCCCACCTGGGATGTAGAGCAGCCTTACAGGTGTGCTGGAGGTAGCCATGCAGGTGGTATCTTTGATCCCCACGTCTGAAGGAGTCCGACTGTACAGCATCTTGATCATGCACCATTTAAGCAGATCAAATAAACACCTCCCTCCCAACCTACCCAGTGGCCTTACAGTTGCTTTTGCTCAACACTACCAGAAATCACGTTCGTAATGTTGCTGGTAATGAGAAATAAAAAGCGAGGCTACAAAGGCTCCTCTGACCACTGCGGGACTCCCCTCGACACCTCCTGCAGAACTGCTCCTCCTGTACCCAGCTCAGCAAGGGCCAGTCCTTTGCCTCAGGCAGAACGGCTGCCAGCAGCACAGGCAGGGTCTGGGCCTGGTCTGTCTGATGGGGCCACACTGGGCCCTGCAGCAGCATCTGCCAGAGCTGGGTGGTACAGGCCACTGGCAGAGGGAGGGGCGGGTGGCAGGAGCGGACATGCTGCCGGCAGCAGTCCTTGGCAGCGATGACCACCTGCCTGGTGGAGACTGCCCCAAATGCAGCAGGGGAGGGCGGGGCATCTGCCTGCTTTGGTGGGACCCCCAGCACAGAGCAGCCATCCTCAAACAGCAGATCAGGTAACAGACTCCTCGCTACCCCTGGTGAGTCCTCTTTCATTCAAGATAGGAAATATCACATTTCCTGTATCCAAGTCTGCCAGGTCCCCAGAAGGAGAGGCTGAAGCTTTCAGGTTGGCACTGCTGCCACTGGGGTTACAGGGTTCTTTGCGGCTGTGTGCTGCGGGAACCTTCGAGCAGCCCCGGCCACTGTCCATCACTCCCGCCCAGCGTGAGGACCCTAAATGTTCCTAGAAGTTACAAAATGTCCCTGGGGAGCAAAACCATGCTGGCTGAGAACCACTAGCCTCAAAGTATGCAACGCACAGCTCAAGGTCAGGGAGGACTGTCCAAAACAAAGGACAGCCCTTCTGCTTAGTGTTCTGGGCTCAACTGCAAAGCCTCCCACGATCGATTGGTAATGTCTGCTCTGTGCAGGAGAAAGGGTCAGGGCAGCAGAACTTGGACCTTTTCTGTGGCTCAGGGATTTCGACATCTCAATCGCCCTGGGAGCTCTTAAAAACTACACAAGCCAGGGCCCCATGTGCCAAGTTGGAGCTTTTCAATCTGGGCCCAGATGTCCAATGATCACTTTGAAAATGTTCTCCAGGTAACTCTGGAGAAAGCCCTGGGTGGGAAACTGTATCAGAGAAGCCCTTAGGAACCTCGGGCTGGTGGCGCCCCCAGGCACAGCCACCCACCAAACACAGAAAACCAAGTGCTCTGCTCCCTGCCTGAGGTCAGTGCACACGCTCCAGCAGTCTGCCACTGTCTGCTATCTAACGCGAAGAGTCCGTAAGGTGGAGACCAGGAAGTCACAGGATGAGCGGTGTCTTTACACAACTCACTCGTGCTTCACCTCTGACACACGCAGCACCACCTCCCGCCCTGAGAAATCCCGCTCTGCACCACAGCCAAACCTTCGCTCCCCTTCACTTCCTAGAGTTCCCTGGAATGCGGTGCGGTGCTCGTTAACGTAGGCTGGGTTCTACGCCCATCACTGGACCACCTCGGGACCACGTCAGGAGCGATCGGAGCCCTGTGCGTCCTGCTCAGGCTCCTCCCCAGGGCTGGCACTCACCGTGAAAAGGTTGGACCGGCGCTTGGACTGCTTCCGGACGGGGGTCGGGGTGTTGGCAGTGGGCGGGACGTCGATGCGGAGCTCCTTCTGGCTGGTGCTCGGAGTGGACGGGACAGAGGAGGAGTAGTCGCTTAAGCTCCCACCTCCATTGCTCGTCTGTAACAGTGGAGAACTGAGGTTTCATTACTGACAGACTCCGGGCATTGCAGCCTCCCCGCTCCCCAGGTGGGTCATAACCAGCAAGTCAGCAGGTCGCACTGAAGGGGGCGCGGGTGCCACAGGCCCCACAGTGCCTCTGGCTCTGCCCACTGCCCGGGTCCTGAGTACTTATCCGTGGTCTTATCCTGGCGCACAGTCTCAGCTCATCGTGGTGTTCCGTCTAGTAACGGTGAGCTCGTGTGAAGAGGTCACGGTCACTTAAAAATTCTCAGAGTTAAAAACACAACCATTTTGTTTTCTTCTGAAAAATGAATTGGCTAGTTTGACTACACCGATTCTGTGGCTCCTTCACTGTTCTAGAACAGATTCTGACCTAACGGGTTTGTCCAGCCAGAACCACAACTAATTCTGAAAAGTGACACACTGGAAATCAAAGTGCTGTTGTGGAAAAAAATGCGTCACGTTTCACAGAAAAGCTAGAGATGCCAGCAGTGAGGATGCACATGCTGGTGACTGTGCAGTGGCAGACCCCAGCTGTGAACGCAGACGCACACCTTCCGAGCGCACCACAGGTGTGGGACCACGCCTCCTCCCCGCACCCGCGGGGACAAAGTGCCAACTGAGCACTCGCCTGAGAACTGCCAATAAGAAAACAAGTACCGGTAAATCAAAGCCAAGGGTTTCCTCAACAGCTTTTGGTTTGGTTCTTCAAAGTGACAGTTACATCACCTGCCTCCAAGTAAACAACTTAGCATAATGTTGTTATGGAAAGATCATAGTTTCTAAAGGGCCTAGGGGAGATGGTAATTATAACTGAATGGTGCTACTGAATTTAAGCCTAAAGTGGGATCCGCCACTAAAATTCACTCACAACTGTTCAACCTACAAGCAGACCAGAGCAAGGTGATTTAAATCAATAGTATAGACAACGGCACACGCCTGGCACTGCCCCCGTGCCAGCATGCCTCGTAGCACAAGCGGAACGGAGACTGAAAACATTAAAGAATGATTCCCATAAAAACCACTTGGCCACAGCAGTTTCTGAAGGAAATGTGAAGTCAATTACAAGCATGCTGTTATTTATAAAGTTGAAAAAGATAAAATCAATCCGCCCCTGTGAACGCCGCCATACTCCCCGCGGTGGGGGCCCTCTTGCCCGCGTGCTCGGGTGGCCTGGCCTACCTGGCTTATGTGCACGGCCGACACCTGCGCGGAGCAGACGGAGGAGTGGCTGGGAGAGTTGGGCAGGGACTTGCAGGGCCCGATGGACAGCTGCTGCTTCTTCCTGGTGGCTACGATCTTCTGGGCCACTGGTGACACAGAGACAAGAGAAATCAACGTGAAGCGGCTTTCCTGGTGATGGGAAATTGCAGACACTGGAAGTGATCCCTGGGATCCACCGTTTTGTTCTTCCACAATGATTTTTGTGGGCACCTGACTACCAGTCACCGTTTCCAGAGCTGCCTCGCGTCCCCAGCGCGGTGCGACCCTGCAAGTGCGCTCTGGCCAACAGGGCGCGTGCGGAGGACACACCACTGGCAGCTTCCAGGACCCTTGCTCCAGGGCGCGCTGTCCTTTGCCCCTTTCTTCCTAGCTTTTTCCCTGCACCTTCCTGAAATGCCTGAATGTGTCTGCGGCCCCAGCAGCCATCCTGGACCGTTAGGTGATGCTGGGAATGGGAGCCACACTTGGTGGGGCAGGCACAGGAGGAACAGCACCACAGAGGGGCACACCGACGCCTGACACCCCACGCCTGACACCCCGTGTACCGTCTTCATGAAATAAGTCTTCCCGTTACGTGCAGCACAGACAATCCTAACTACAACATGAAATTTAAACCCCGTGAAAGCCAAAATTCTTTTTTTTTTAAATTTTTTTGCACTAAAGAATTATTCTTTATAAGCTATGGTACAGAATTATACTCAGGCACATGTAATTATATCAAAGACCTTTTTTTTTTTACTTAAACGTATTACCACACGCACTGGAAGCTTATCTTAATCAATACAAATCTAAATTCAACCAGCCATAACTTCTCTTGGCAAATAGGCTCACTGATAAAGCATATTGAATTTAATTGGAAAGGAAGCCAACGATCGGAAAACCCTTCCTACACCAATAGGTGTCACTACAGGAGAATAACTACAGTTTTTATTTCAGCGGATGCGTGTCTTTGGGGAGTAGCTGTAATTACGTTTGGTGATATTCAATCTTGCCTTTGCCCAGGGTGTTGCTGTCCCGGAAGAGGCCCAGGAGAAGGACCGTCCTCTCCCCCTGACCAGAGGTGATAATGCAGAGGAAGCCCACATGGTGTTCAGATAATTTCTTTTCCAAATGAACACAATTTTAATAAGGAGCTGGTTTGTCCACAGCTTATGGTTTTCATGTAAATGAATGACAGTATAAATATGATTAAGTGAAAATGCAATATATAAAAAATGGCTCCCAGAGATGAAGCAGCAGCTTCATTAGTTACATCCGACCTCCAATAGGCTCCTTATCATCCTGAAAGGGTGATATCAATTAATTTATCTTCCCGTAGTGTATTGATCATAACCTTCATCAGCTAATCATGTTTAAATTACAGAGGAATATCACGGCACTCTGTCATTTCTCCACCACTGGCCTATCGATTGGGGGTCTTGGAAGACATATATTAGAATATTTGAAAATCATTACATGAACTCAAAAATAAAATCTAAGATCAAATTCCAACAAAGCATGCCACAGTGGTACTGAACTCCCAAGGACTAAAAGTAAATTAAGTTAAAATCATGGTCATCTGCATGATTGCTAATTTCTTTTCTTTTCTTTTTTTTTTTTTTTTTAAGAAAAACAGCAAAAAGCAGTTTTTTGGTGATGAGCCCCTCTGCACTCTGCTTGGGCGGCCAGCGCCAGAGCTCATGTTCAGCTGGGTGCTTACAGCAATAGGGATCTGGAAGCCCATGGGAAACCCACGAACGCCAAAACCCAACAGAACGGGACGCAGGACTGCAGAGCTTCTGGACATTTTCTAAACACGTTTTCCATGCTCAGCGAAGATCTGAGCAACTTTCCAAGACAAGTCAAGTATTTGTTTTACAAAATTGCAAATGCAAAGAAATGCTCTGCCCTTCCGCAGGTGGAAGGAGGGGGGCCCTGAGCACAGCACCTCTCCAGCAAAGCCTCTGGACAACTGCACAGAGCACAGCCTCAAGCTAAGTACCTGTCCCTGTAGTCACTGCTCTCACACATTAAGTGCGCACACACACACACACACACACACACACACACACACACACTCACACACAAAGTCACAGCACTGAACAAATGGTAGCCAGCTGGGGGTGGTGGTGGTGGTGGTGCATACCCAAGAGGTTGAGGCAGGAGGATCACTGTGAGTTCCAGGTCAGACTGAACTGCACAGGGAAACCTTCTCTCAAAAAAAAAAAAGGTAGCCTTTTAAAAAAACTCTACTGATTCTTTCTTGTGTTTGTCCTCTTTCCCTAGTATTTTAAAGCCCTGCTACCCAAGTGAAAGAAACTGACAAGTACTTTGCTCTAAAATAGGGAGACCGCTTCAGAACTACAGACCTATGCAGAACAGAGGAAAACTTATTTCCTGAAGGACAGGGAAAGGGAAGGGGCCAGCGCGGAGGAGGAAGGAAGAGCCGTGGCTGGGCTCAGTGGCCGCCCATTGAGAGACTGCAGTGAGCTGCTGCCCTAACCTGCTTTATTCCCAGGGACAGGCAGCACACTGGGGCGTGTCACCGACAGACATCCCTAAAGTGCTGTCTGGGCGGTCACAGGCTAGAGGGACAACTGGCATCCAGGACAGCACAGGTCCACGCCTCGCAGGACTGCAGAAGGTGACCCCTCCCCGCACCCAGCCGCAGAGGGCAGGGGGTATGCTGCACTGGGTCAGCTGCAGCCACCTGAAGCACTGGTGTTTACGGCATCTTTTTTACGTGATGGCAGGTTGGAACCATGAATATGCTCAGGCCATCCTGGCCGGTCAAGATGTTACCCGAGTTTTTGTCTGTAGTTGGTCATTCAACAGACGAATGTTTCATGTATCAATGCACGTGTGCCTTTTTTCTCAGTACTAGGGACTGAACCCAGGGACTTCAGACTGAGCTTTCACACAGGCCTTTTGTCTTACTGCTTTTTTATATTGTGAGATAGGGTCTCGCTAACTTGCCAAGTTGCCCAGGCTAGACTAGAACTTGCGATACTCCTGCCTCAGCCTTCTAGAGTGCTGCAATTACAGGCATGTGCCACACACCCACTCATCTGTGACGTACTGATGAATCACTTACATGTCTAATGGAAATATGAGTATATATTTTAAAAAACACAGAACTTAAGAGAATCTAAAAATTGTATCACTGAGATTTGGTGTTTTCTCCCGCGAGGTGTCATGCTCAAGTACGTATGACTCCGCCTGCAGGAGCATCATCAGAGGTGTGCAAGGTGACTGTGCTTTTACCACCGACACCCCCTCCTCACCTCCCACAAGTGCTGCTCAGGCTTGTTTAAAAGTCACCTCAAGATTGCCCGGGTCCTACAGGTGAGTTCATGAGGGTGGCTCACAGGAAGTGGCTGTCAGCGGAGTGGGATGTCAGAGCCGTGCCACCCCTAGGAAGCCCGGCGGCTGGTGCCCGGCTGAGGGATGAAGGGCTTTTCCAGGAGGACACGGATCCTTCCTAACCTGTGACGGCTTTGGGTTTTTGCACAAAAGAATGCTTTTGTGCATATATTTATGTTCTTGAAGTAAGAAGTTTGGGGACTTAACCTGAAAATGAGCTACATATGCACATTCTTCACAAATTTAAATTTTTCTGCTTTACAGGAAGGAAGGGGCACTGTTACGGCTTGTGTCCAGCGGCCCCACAAAACTTCATGCTGCTGCGGAGCGGGGGGCAGGCTTTTTGGCGGTGGCTGGATCTAGGCTTTGTGTTGCTGGGCTCAAAGACGTGAGGCTGGCATTGACTCCTAGTGGGAGGCTGGGATGAAGGGTGTGAGTGCTTCCTGCCCTAGGTGGGTGGCCCGGGTGAGATACAAGGGGCGGAAAGAGCTGTGGCCATGGGTGCTTGCTGCTTTGCTATGAACTGTTTCCTTGGTGATGCCCCCCTGCCGTGCCACCCTGCCTTGGAGCCAGCCAACCAGGAACTGAAACCTACGAACTGGGAGCCAAGTAAGCCTCTCCTCCTTTAACTTAGTGTGTTGGATATCGGGTCTCAGCCGCGAGTAACTAAGACAGGCACTCCTTAGTCAGGGGTGAAATACTACATCCTGACCGAGAGCCTGGTTTTTGCTTCCATGCCGTTTCTGAATCACCCCTGGAGTCAGCAGCTTCTCTACCCATCGCTCGGCCCTGCTTCTCACGCTCAGATGGCCGGGTGTGTGGGCTACGAACTCACTCCGCCCTCGCAATCCATTTCCCAGGGAAGAGCCGCACGTCGGGCAGGTCAGCAGTGTGGCCCTGGGACAGCTCAGGACCCCACCACACAGCAACAATCATCCCGTCTCCCCGGCATCCCGCCAGCCCATCCCACTTCCAGGACAAGAACCTTCTGCTGACGCCTTCACCTTCTACCCACACCAGGACACAAGGGACCGGGAAGCTGCTGTCCACGCTGCCTCAGTCGAACTGTGCACCAAGCCTGTGGCAGAGGGTACCCTTGGCCTGAGGGCACCTCCCGGTCCTCCCCGTCCTCTGCCTCTGCCCCTGGCTGAGCCTGCCCTGTAAGGAACCTGGCATCACGGGTGGCGGCCTGGAGTCAGGCTGCATGTTCCTACCTGGCCGCTGGGCAGCCCCTGGCATTGCTGGTCACTCCCACCTCTCGTGTCTTTCTCTAGGCTTCCGGGACACCCGACTCCCCAGGGTCCCCTCTGCAGGGAGCTCTTCTCTGACCCCCCTTTGTGATCTCTTCTGAACAGGGTTCCTCGCGGGCTTGCATCTCAGCCTCCTCCCCGCCCCAGGGAAGCTTCTCCATGCCCAGGGCTCATCACCACATAGATGCCAACAGCCCCCAAGGTGAACAGTTGCACCTCCAGGGCACCCTTTGGACCCTCCTGCATTCTAGAACCGTGCCTCCAACAGCCACCAACAGCTCCCCCGTGTGCCGGGGCACCGCAGAGCCTACGCTGTCGGACATGGCAGCGCATCTCTCAGACCAGCTTCTGTCTACCTTGTACCTCAGCCGACGGCACACCGCTCCCCCACCCACAGGCACGGGTGGAGGAGACCTAGCGGAGAATTTTCTTCAGTCCCCCCACCCCACCTCGGCCTCAACGCAGAAGCTCACCCTCCACAGCACAGGGGCTTC